TCTCTCTCTCTCTCTCTCTCTCTCTCTCTCTCTCTCTCTTCTCTCAAAAAGTGCTCAAAATTCACATGTGTGCTAAACAGTCCAGCCGTGAAGACATCTACGCGACAGTTTTGAGATTTCTTCAAATGGGTTAGGGTTAGGGTTTCTCATACAGCATCTCTGTATAGTCTGTGTATTCACTCTCTGTCCTAAACGGCTTGTTGGAGCTCCTGCCCCCCCCCCCCTCCTGTGAGCCCACTGTGCTCTGATTGGTCAGCTCGCCCACTCTGCTCTGATTGGTCCACCAGCGTTACAGCTGAACATTAGAGATTATGTTTTACAATGGCGTTTGTTAGCAACCAGAAAATGACCCCAGTAATGACAAACAGAGGGGAATGCTGCGTGGGGTCTGGGGTGCCGTGTTGGGGGGACGTTGGGGGGCTCGCTGCTCCGCCCTGTGAGGCTCGAGGAGCGGACAGTGAGAGCTTGGGTTTACTGGGGTCGTTTCCTGGGTGCTCCGGGGGGTCGAGAGACAGCGAGACACAGAGAAACCCAGCCCGAAACCAGCCCAAGCACACACACACACACACTCACAACACACACCACTCACAGCCAGGCTGTGGGTGTGTGGTGTGTGTGTGTGGTGTGTGGTGGTGTGTGTGTGTGTGTGTGTGTGTGTGTGTGGTGTGTGTGTGTGTGTGTGTGTGTGTGTGTGTGTGTGTGTGTGTGTGTGTGTGTGTGTGTGTGTGTGTGTGTGTGTGTGTGTGTGTGTGTGTGTGTGTGTGTGTGTGTCACGTCACTATACCCAGAAGCAAACAATGTAAAAAGAGAATCCCCAGCGAGGCGTTCAGGGCAGCAGGTCTTCTCTGTGTTAGAGCTTACTCTCTACAGGGTGCACTCTGAGGGGTAGAGACTCTGCAGACTCTGATGGGTGATAACCAGCATGACATGGGACCTTTGAAGAACATCAGAAAGATATTATTAAAGATATTGTGATATGAACCTCCTGAGGTGGAACACCTTTGAGCTTTTGTTTTGAAGGGGAAAGTGACTCTTCCTGTTTCTCCTCCAGAAGAACTTCAACATGGCCGACGCCTGGAAAGAAGCCATGGAGCTGGCAGAGAAGACAGCGAGGAGGAGCGGGGGAGGTGTGGGTGTGTGTGTGTGTGTGTGTGCTACTATATACTCAAATATACACTATAATATACACTATATACACAGAAATACTCAAATATACACAATATACTCAATATACACAATATACTCAGTTGTACATGTCATTACTAATCAGTGCAGTAACATCTGAATATTATACTGTGTTGTACTGATCATTGTATATTATGTGTCCTTCAAACCAATACAACAAATGTGTGTGTGTGTGTGTGTGTGTGTGTGTGTGGTGTGTGTGTGTGTGTGTGTGGTGTGTGGTGTGTGTGTGTGTGTGTGTGTGTGTGTGTGTGTGTGTGTGTGTGGTGTGTGTGTGGTGTGTGTGTGTGTGTGTGTGTGTGTGTGTGTGTGTGTGTGCAGGTGGTGTGTGCTGCGCTGCAGGTGGAGCGCTCTGTGATGACGAAGAGCTGCTCGGTGGATTTGGTGACTCAGACTGACCAGCAGGTGGAGCAGCTGATCATCCAATCAGTGAAGGACAAGTTCCCAATGCACAGGTGAGAAGCCCGCGCCCCCTTCACATGCCAAGCCCACACCCCATCACAGTTTTGTTTATAGTGTGTGTGTGATGTGTGTGTGTGTGTGATGTGGTGTGTGTGTGTGTGTGTGTGTGTGTGTGGTGTGTGTGTGTGTGGTGTGTGTGTGTGTGTGTGTGTGTGTGTGTGTGTGTGTGTGTGTGTGTGTGTGTGTGTGTAGGTTCATAGGGGAGGAGTCAGTAGCTGCAGGTGAGCCCTGTGTCCTGAGTGATGAGCCCACCTGGATCATCGACCCCATCGACGGGACCACCAACTTCGTGCACGCGTGAGTTTAACTCTGTGTTACCTGTGGAGGTGTGTATTGATCACCTGTGGAGGTGTGTATTGATCACCTGTGGAGGTGTGTATTGATCACCTGTGGAGGTGTGTATTGATCACCTGTGGAGGTGTGTATTGATCACCTGTGTGACTCACTGATCCTCTGCTCTGTAGATTTCCTTTTGTCGCTATTTCCATCGGCTTCTCTGTCAACAAGCAGGTGAGACTCCACCAACACCTGTTCCTGTACAAGTGTGTATACATATATACACACACATGTAAACACACACACATGTATACACACACATGTATACACACACACACATGTATACACACATGTATACACCACACACGTGTATAACATGTGTGTATACTATATACACACACATCATATACACACACATCATATATACACACACATCATATATACACACATCATATATACACACATATATACACACACATCATATATACACACACATCATATACACACACATCATATATACACACACATATATACACACACATATATACACACACATCATATACACACACACACACACACATGTATACACACACATGTATACACACACACATGTATACACACACATGTATACACACACATGTATACACACACACATGTATACACACACACATGTATACACACACATATATACACACACATGTATACACACACATGTATACACACACACACATGTATACACACACATGTATACAACAACACATTATATACACACACATCATATATACACACACATCATATACACACACACACACACATGTATACACACACACATGTATACACACACACATGTATACACACACATGTATACACACACACATGTATACACACACATGTATACACACACACACACACACACACATGTATACACACACATGTATACACACACATATACACACACACATGTAAACACACACACATGTATACACACATGTATACACACACACACATGTATACACACACATGTATACACACACACGTGTATACATGTGTGTATACAATATACACACACACATATAAACACACAAACATATATACACACACATATATACACACACATATATACACACACATCATATACACACACATCATATATACACACACATCATATATACACACATCATATACACACACATATATACACACATCATATATACACACACACACACACACACATCATATATACACACACATGTATACACACACACATGTATACACACACACACACATGTATACACACACACACACAGATGTATACACACACACACACACATGTACACACACACACACACACACACACATGTATACACACACACACACACATGTACACACACACACACACACCCACAACACAACACACACACACACACACACACAACCCACATGTAACACACACAACACACATCACACAACAACACCACCACATGTATACACACACACACAACATGTACACACCACACACACACATGTATACACACACACACAACACATGTACACACACACACACACATGTATACCACATACCACACACACAACAGTACACACACACACACACACATGTACACCACCACACACAATGTACACACACACACACACACACATGTATACACACACACACACACATGTACACACACACACCACATGTACACACACACACACAGATGTATACACACACACACACACATGTATACACACACACACACACATGTACACACACACACACACATGTACACACACACACACACATGTATACACACACACACACACATGTACACACACACACACACATGTACACACACACACACACATGTACACACACACACACAGATGTATACACAGATCAGCCATAACATTATATATATATCAGAGGTTAACCGTGTCTATCACATCTGGACCTTCTGTAGACACCCCCCCCCCCCCCCCCCCCCCCCCCTCGCCGTTATAATGTCCGTCTCTTCACTGAATGGTGGTCTTTTGAAGGGTTAGGGTTAGGGTTAGTCACAACATCATCTTCACCTGTTTCCATTTCAGCGTTAACACAACAAAACAAATGAATTGCTCCGTGGCATTCATCGAGACCCTCTGTCTCTCTCCAGTGAACTACCTTCTAGACCCTCTGTCTCTCTCCAGTGAACTACCTTCTAGACCCTCTGTCTCTCTCCAGTGAACTACCTTCTAGACCCTCTGTCTCTCTCCAGTGAACTACCATCTAGACCCTCTGTCTCTCTCCAGTGAACTAGCTTCTAGACCCTCTGTCTCTCTCCAGTGAACTACCATCTAGACCCTCTGTCTCTCTCCAGTGAACTACCTTCTAGACCCTCTGTCTCTCTCCAGTGAACTACCATCGAGACCCTCTGTCTCTCTCCAGTGAACTACCATCGAGACCCTCTGTCTCTCTCCAGTGAACTACCATCGAGACCCTCTGTCTCTCTCCAGTGAACTACCATCGAGACCCTCTGTCTCTCTCCAGTGAACTACCTTCTAGACCCTCTGTCTCTCTCCAGTGAACTACCATCGAGACCCTCTGTCTCTCTCCAGTGAACTAGCTTCTAGACCCTCTGTCTCTCTCCAGTGAACTACCATCGAGACCCTCTGTCTCTCTCCATTTGAACTACCTTCTAGACCCTCTGTCTCTCTCCAGTGAACTACCATCGAGACCCTCTGTCTCTCTCCAGTGAACTACCATCGAGACCCTCTGTCTCTCTCCAGTGAACTACCATCGAGACCCTCTGTCTCTCTCCAGTGAACTACCATTCTAGACCCTCTGTCTCTCTCCAGTGAACTACCATCTAGACCCTCTGTCTCTCTCCAGTGAACTACCATCTAGACCCTCTGTCTCTCTCCAGTGAACTACCATCGAGACCCTCTGTCTCTCTCCAGTGAACTACCTTCTAGACCCTCTGTCTCTCTCCAGTGAACTACCATCTAGACCCTCTGTCTCTCTCCAGTGAACTACCATCGAGACCCTCTGTCTCTCTCCAGTGAACTACCATCTAGACCCTCTGTCTCTCTCCAGTGAACTACCATCGAGACCCTCTGTCTCTCTCCAGTGAACTACCATCTAGACCCTCTGTCTCTCTCCAGTGAACTACCATCTAGACCCTCTGTCTCTCTCCAGTGAACTACCATCTAGACCCTCTGTCTCTCTCCAGTGAACTACCATCGAGACCCTCTGTCTCTCTCCAGTGAACTACCATCGAGACCCTCTGTCTCTCTCCAGTGAACTACCATCTAGACCCTCTGTCTCTCTCCAGTGAACTACCATCTAGACCCTCTGTCTCTCTCCAGTGAACTACCATCGAGACCCTCTGTCTCTCTCCAGTGAACTACCTTCTAGACCCTCTGTCTCTCTCCAGTGAACTACCATCTAGACCCTCTGTTTCAACAAGACATGGACCGCTAAGTATTTATTTACAGAAGTGAAAGGTAAAGCTGTGTGTTTAGTTTGTGGTGCGCAGGTCGCTGTGTTCAAGGAGTACAATTTGAGTCGCCACTATGCTACCAAACACGCAGATAAATACAAGAACCTGTCTGAGGAAGAGCGGGCAAAGGGGTCGGATGCTTTGCTAGCTAAGCTGCAAAGCCAACAACACATTTTCACAAAACATTCCACATCCAGAGATGCAGCTGTCAAGACGAGTTATGTCTTAAAAGTTAACCGTTTTCGGAGGGAGAGTTCATTAAGGAGTGTTTGTTGGACACTAATATGCCCGGAGAAAAAGGAGGCATTTGAGAAAGTGCCGCTCTCCCGACGCACTGTTACGAGGAGGATTGAGGACATCGCGGGAAATCTGGAGCTTCAGCTGCAGAACAGAGCGGTCAACTTTGACTTTTTGTCCTTGGCTTTGGATGAGAGCTGCGATGTACGTGACACTGCCCAGCTACTCATCTTCCTACGTGGGATAACTACAGACTTCAAAATCACGGAGGAGCTGGCAGCCATGCAGTCAATGAAAGGTACAACAACAGGGAGTGATTTGTTCACGGAGGTAAATGCATGTGTGGAAAAGTTGGGACTGAAATGGGACAAGCTGGCAGGCGTGACAACGGATGGTTGTCCAAATCTGACAGGGAAAAATGTTGGACTATTGAAGAGAATGCAGGATAAAGTGACAGAAATTAACCCTGAGCAGAAATAGGTATTTTTGCATTGTATTATACATCAGGAAGTGTTGTGTAAGTCAGTGTTAAAAAGTAACCATGTTGTTGATGTTGTAACTAAAATAGTTAACTTCATCAGGGCAAGAGCATTGAATCACAGACAGTTTGTTGCACTTTTGGAGGAAAGTGAGACTGAACATCGTGACATACCCTACCATGCAGCTGTCAGGTGGCTCAGCCTGGGCAAAGTGCTGAAAAGAGTATGGGACCTGAGAGAAGAGATTCAAGACTTCTGTGTGAAGAAAGGAAACGACATCCCACAGCTTTCAGATGCAGACTGGATGGCAGACCTTGGTTTTGCTGTAGATGTGACTGCACTAATGAGTGAACTAAATGTCTGCAAGGCAAGGGCCTTTTTGTGCATGACATGTACAGTGCAGTGAAGGCTTTCATGAGAAAGCTGCAGCTTCTCTCAAGCCAAATGGAGGACAACATTCTCACGCACTTGCCAACACTGAAGGAAGCCACACCATCAGCTGATCACCTCCAGAGGTACTCATCCATGTTAGAAGCACTGCATGGTGAGTTTTCAAGGCGATTTAAAGACTTCAAAACAGTTGAGAATGAAATGAACATGATCTTTTCCCCATTTACATGCCATGTGGATGATGCACCCAGTGATGTTCAGCTCATTGACCTGCAGTCTGACACACTTCTGTCAGAGCAGGTCAGTCTCACTGCCTGAGTTTTACTCTTCCCTGAAAGAGGAGAACTTTCCACACATCAGGAGACGTGCTCAGAAGATGATGGGTCCTCTTTGGATCTACCTACATATGTGAACATTCTCAGTGATGAAGTTCAACAAATCCAGATACAGATCCTCTATCACTGATGATCACCTCTCAGCTGTCCTTCGCATATCCACCTCAGACATTGAACCAGATTTCCGTGCACTTGTTCAAGCCCAAGACAGACTGGATTTTTCTCACTGAACAAGTCAAATGAACTGAAAAACAAAAAGTCAAAAGCACTCATTTCTTTTTGTATAAAGCTGATTCATTTCTTATCTTTAACATACTGTAAAACACCTTTTCAGTATTGGTATATTGAGCAGAATTAAGTTCAACTTATTTTTGATTCGGCCCCCCAACACAGCTCGAGTTTCTGAAGTGGCCCCTTGTAAAAAATAATTGCCCACCCCTGTTCTGGACCCTCTGTCTCTCTCCAGTGAACTACCTTCTAGACCCTCTGTCTCTCTCCAGTGAACTACCTTCTAGACCCTCTGTCTCTCTCCAGTGAACTACCTTCTAGACCCTCTGTCTCTCTCCAGTGAACTACCTTCTAGACCCTCTGTCTCTCTCCAGTGAACTACCTTCTAGACCCTCTGTCTCTCTCCAGTGAACTACCTTCTAGACCCTCTGTCTCTCTCCAGTGAACTACCATCTAGACCCTCTGTCTCTCTCCAGTGAACTACCTTCTAGACCCTCTGTCTCTCTCCAGTGAACTACCATCTAGACCCTCTGTCTCTCTCCAGTGAACTACCTTCTAGACCCTCTGTCTCTCTCCAGTGAACTACCTTCTGGACCCTCTGTCTCTCTCCAGTGAACTACCATCTAGACCCTCTGTCTCTCTCCAGTGAACTAGCTTCTAGACCCTCTGTCTCTCTCCAGTGAACTACCTTCTAGACCCTCTGTCTCTCTCCAGTGAACTAGCTTCTAGACCCTCTGTCTCTCTCCAGTGAACTACCTTCTAGACCCTCTGTCTCTCTCCAGTGAACTACCTTCTAGACCCTCTGTCTCTCCAGTGAACTACCTTCTAGACCCTCTGTCTCTCTCCAGTGAACTACCTTCTAGACCCTCTGTCTCTCTCCAGTGAACTAGCTTCTAGACCCTCTGTCTCTCTCCAGTGAACTACCTTCTAGACCCTCTGTCTCTCTCCAGTGAACTACCTTCTAGACCCTCTGTCTCTCTCCAGTGAACTACCTTCTAGACCCTCTGTCTCTCTCCAGTGAACTAGCTTCTAGACCCTCTGTCTCTCTCCAGTGAACTACCTTCTAGACCCTCTGTCTCTCTCCAGTGAACTAGCTTCTGGACCCTCTGTCTCTCTCCAGTGAACTAGCTTCTGGACCCTCTGTCTCTCTCCAGTGAACTACCTTCTAGACCCTCTGTCTCTCTCCAGTGAACTAGCTTCTAGACCCTCTGTCTCTCTCCAGTGAACTACCTTCTAGACCCTCTGTCTCTCTCCAGTGAACTACCTTCTAGACCCTCTGTCTCTCTCCAGTGAACTACCTTCTAGACCCTCTGTCTCTCTCCAGTGAACTACCATCTGGACCCTCTGTCTCTCTCCAGTGAACTACCTTCTGGACCCTCTGTCTCTCTCCAGTGAACTAGCTTCTGGACCCTCTGTCTCTCTCCAGTGAACTAGCTTCTGGACCCTCTGTCTCTCTCCAGTGAACTAGCTTCTAGACCCTCTGTCTCTCTCCAGTGAACTAGCTTCTAGACCCTCTGTCTCTCTCCAGTGAACTAGCTTCTAGACCCTCTGTCTCTCTCCAGTGAACTAGCTTCTAGACCCTCTGTCTCTCTCCAGTGAACTAGCTTCTAGACCCTCTGTCTCTCTCCAGTGAACTAGCTTCTAGAGCTCCTGGACCCGAGGGGAACCCTGAAAGAACACGCCCATTGGCTACAAATCAATATCTGATTGGTTGATCAACCTGTCAATCAAACGCTCTCATTCAGTGTGAGGGCATTCTATCAAGGATATAGAATACCTGGTTGAAGGGTATTCGACCCAGAGACCCAGAAACACATCTGATTGGTTGCATTTGTTTCTAACACAAAACCAGTGAAATGCGTCGTGCATGGTCCGAGAAGGAGAAACAAATCAACGTGACTCTGTGATATTACAGATCATCAACACAAATGCCATTCTCTTTTATTACATTGTATTTATATCACATGACATGCCACTTGTTAGAAGCTTTTATCCAAAGCGACCCACATACTCAATCCTGTGGGCAATCCCTCAGGAGCACTTTGGGGTGAAGGGTCTGGCCCAGGGCAAAGTCGATGTGTTGTTAGTTTGATCTGAGGGTGTTCTCTGGATACCTTGAAGGCCCTGACGGCTCACCACTGATATATATAAAGGCAGTATATGTACTGTATATATGTATATATGTATATATATGTGTGTCCTGCAGATGGAGTTTGGGGTGGTGTTCAGCTGTCTGGAGGATAAGATGTACACGGCCAGGAGGGGGGGGGGCGCCTTCTGCAACGGAGAGAGGCTGCAGGTCTCCAGCCAGGAAGGTCTCATATACTGTATATACACTATATGAGTATATATACACTATATGTATATATATACTCATATAGTGCAGTGAAACAGTCTGTCTGTCTGTCTGTCTGTCTGTGTGTCTGTCTGTCTGTGTGTCTGTCTGTCTGTCACCTGTCTGTCTGTCACCTGTCTGTCTGTCTGTCACCTGTCTGTCTGTCTGTCTGTCTCTGTGCAGATATCCAACAGGCGATGGTCTGCACAGAGTTCGGCTCCAGCAGAGACCCTGAAGTCGTGGAGAAAATCTTCTGCAGCCTGAGAGCCGTGCTGAGCATCCCTACACACGGGTTAGTGTGTGTGTGGTGTGTGTGTGTGTGTGTGTGTGTGTGTGTGTGTGTGTGTGTGTGTGTGTGTGTGTGTGTGTGTGTGTGTGTGTGTGTGTGTGTGTGTGTGTGTGTGTGTGTTGTTGGAGGCCAGTATTAGACCTCCTAATTGACAGAAGCTATTGAGTCTCAATTTCCAAAACCACATACATTTTGTATATACTGTGAGTATCGAACAACGTGACATAATGCATTTTCATTGTGTGTGTGTGTGTGTGTGTGTGTGTGTGTGTGTGTGTGTGTGTGTGTGTGTGTGTGTGTGTGTGTGTGTGTGTGTGTGTGTGTGTGTGTGTGTGTGTGTGTGTGTGTGTGTGTGTGTATAGAGTGCGTGGAGCAGGGACTGCAGCGATCAACATGTGTCTGGTGGCCTCTGGATGCGTGGAGGCGTATTATGAGATTGGGATCCACGTGTGGGACATCGCTGCGGGGGCTCTGCTGGTGACGGAGGCGGGGGGCGTGCTGATGGACGTGCAGGGTGAGGAGCTACGCTAACACACAGATGCTAAGTTAACAGATGCTAAGCTAACAGATGCTAAGCTAACAGATGCTATGTGTCCAGGCGGGCCGGTGGACCTGATGTCCCGCCGGGTGCTAGCGGCTAACAGCCCGGCGCTAGCTGAGCGGCTGCTGCAGGAGATCCACAGCTTCTGTCCAATCAGAGACGACGCTGCGCCCTCACTCTGAACACGTGCATTCTGGGTAAAACAGCATGAGGTGCATGGTCTGTTTGTAACGTTTGTGAATAATAAAGTTTATGATTAAAACAAAAACTGGACAACTTCTGTTACTGGGAAGGGAAGGGTTAAAAACAGTCAGAGGGGGTGCTTTATATAGTACCCTTACTTTATAAAGTCATAGATATAGTAATTAATGAACATAAACATTTGTTCCATTCAAGATTTATTTCATACATATATACACACAGCAAATGAATAAACCCCCCCCCCCCCCCGTTAAATTATTTCCTTAAGGAGAGTAACAACTGCAAAAGACTATCTGTGTTAGCACATGCTAACTGCTGCTAACACTGAGAGAGACGGACACTTAAATACTAAAAGTTAGCATCAGCTCGTTAGCATCAGCTCGTTAGCATCAGCTCGTTAGCATCAGCTCGTTAGCATCAGCTCGTTATCATCAGCTCGTTATCATCAGCTCGTTAACATCAGCTCGTTATCATCAGCTCGTTAACGTGAACATCAGTCCAAGAAACCGAGAGAGAAGATCATTGGCTGCTCGCTCCGTCTTCCTCCCTTTTCATTCGTCCTCTCACTGCAAACGAGGAGCCAATCAGACACCACCGGCTTAATTGGTGACGATTACGTCACTAACGGAAGCAGGAAGGAGACAAAATGCTGCCGTCTGATTGGTCGGTGTGTCGGTGAGGAGGCGGAGCTACAGCAGCGGTCAGAGATGCTTCCTGAGAGGAACGCTATTGGTCAGAGTCTGCAGAAAGAGAGAATCATGTGCTGTGATTGGCTGAAGGGATGATGACACATTACAACCTGCAGTTGATTCGTTAATGATTTAACGAGGTGTTGCGAGTGAGTGTGTGTTCAGTGTGTGTGTTACTGACCGTGCGGAGGCGTTCTGTGTACTCTGGCTCCGCCTCCTCAGCTCTCCTGGTCGGCACGGCAACACCCCAGCGCTGAAGCTCTGCCCCCATCTCCGCCACGCTGAAGAGCACTGCGGGGTCGCCACGGCAACGGTTGATCAGCTGCACCAGGCACTCCTTAAAGTGAGACCTGAGGGTCGTTAAGCACCATGATTAACCCTCGTTACCATTAACCCTCATCATCATCAACCCTCACCACCATCAACCCTCGTTATCATTAACCCTCGTTACCATTAACCCTCACCACCATTAACCCTCGTTACCTTTAACCCTCGTCACCATTAACCCTCGTCACCTTTAACCCTCGTCACCATTAACCCTCGCCACCATTAACCCTCGTTACCATTAACCCTCGCCATCATTAACCCTCGTCACCATTAACCCTCGCCACCATTAACCCTCGCCACCATTAACCCTCGTTACCATTAACCCTCGTCACCATTAACCCTCGTCACCATTAACCCTCGTCATCATTAACCCTCGTCACCATTAACCCTCACCATCATTAACCCTCGTTACCATTAACCCTCGTTATCATTAACCTGTTAAGCCAGAGAGACCCCGGTACCGGTGTCTGAGGTTCATTTAATAAAACTATGAATGTTTTATATCCATGTAACGGGAAGAAACTCATCTAACTGATCTTTTTTTTTTTTTTTTCAAAAGAAAACCCACAATGCTAACACTGAGCCTCTGAATTTCTGTATTAGAAAATCACTCACAAAACCTTATTATTTATCTTTTCACCACATCCAACACATCGTTTCACATCGTGAGGTGACACAGAATCGATTGACACCGACATTACCACTGAATTATTACGTTATAAGCAAAAACGGACATCAAAACAGGTGACGCTAGGCATCTAAAAATGCTAACATTTTTACCTTGGCTCTGTAGTCTCTCCAAAGTGGTCTTCAATGGCATTAAAACGATAAAAACGCTGAAGTTAATCCATAGGTTAATCTAATGTGTCTGTGTCCCTTTGAAATGATTTCTGATAATCCATAAGCATTAAAACTGCTTTTCCGTTTCCAGATGTCAAAGCTAGAGATAGTTTCACTCTGATTGAAAATTACATGCGCGAAGCCCCCACCTTTTCTCTTCACAATGAGTGTGTCTGGGGGACTCCCCCTTCGATTCTATTGGCTCTAACGGTCAGAAAGAGGTGTCAACCATCAAAATCGAGTAAGGGGGGCCAGAGATATGGAAAATCCACCCAAATGACCCAAGAAGTGGTTTCTTTTTGCTAAATCTCTCTAAAAAGGTCAAATGTCACTTGTTTTGCATCAATCTTGATACAGGGTACTTATTATATGTTGTACTTTGGATTCCTAAAGCTTTTAGTCTACTAACCCATCATCCAAGGGTAGTTTTCACTATAAGTAAAAAAGAATTTTTGGACGGACACTATAATTTACAGTTTTTTACTATGTAAAATCTGAATTTTCTTTAAAATAAAAAACATCTATATTGATTCTGACTTCTCTACATCCAACTCACAGGTTTATCATTACTTTGAGAAAAAAGATTATTAATTTAACTCTTTTAGAAGGGAAGATATGGTCATTTGTTCTGGGAATGTCATTTAGAGCCTGAGACCTGAAAAACAGGCTCAGGGCTTAACAGGTTAACCATCGTTACCATTAACCCTCACCATCATTAACCCTTGTTACCATTAACCGTCGTTACCATTAACCCTCACCATCATTTAACCGTCGTTACCATTAACCCTCACCATCATTTACCCTTGTTACCATTAACCCTTGTTACCATTAACCCTCGTTCTCCTTAACCCTTGTTACCATTAACCCTAGTTATCATTAACACAGTAATATGAATATATTATATAATATCAGGTGTAATGAGGGGGGGCTCACTCGCAGTGTCCTCTGTACTGGGGGGGGGCGGCTCGTCCACACGCCTCTTCTCTCTCCTCCCTCACCTCCATCACTGGACACACACCTGAACACAGCATCATACACACACCTGAGCACAGCATCATACACACACCTGAACACACCATCAGACCCTGAACACAGCATCATACACACACCTGAACACAGCATCATACACACACCTACCTGAACACAGCATCATACACACACCTGAGCACAGCATCATACACACACCTGAACACAGCATCATACACACACCTGAACACACCATCAGACCCTGATCATACACACACCCGAGCACAGCATCATACACACACCTGAGCACAGCATCATACACACACCTGAACACACCATCAGACCCTGATCATACACACACCCGAGCACAGCATCATACACACACCTGAACACAGCATCAGACCCTGAAGACAGCATCATACACACACCCGAGCACAGCATCATACACACACCCGAACACAGCATCATACACACACCCGAACACAGCATCATACACACACCCGAACACAGCATCATACACACACCCGAGCACAGCATCATACACACACCCGAACACAGCATCATACACACACCCGAACACAGCATCATACACACACCCGAACACAGCATCATACACACACCTGAACACAGCATCAACAGCAGACTCATCATGCATGAGTCTGCTGTTGACTCATCATGCATGAGTCAACAGCAGACTCAGATTCGCAATTCCTGACTCACTGAATCAAGGGAACTTCCTTCACTTCCTGCAGACTCGTGAGATTTCAACAACAGTAACATGAAGTTTTTCAAATGTACACCATTCGCAGCCCCGCCTCCAGCACACCTACTTCCCGCGGCTATTGTTCCACGAGTCAACAGCAGACTCAGAGATTCGCAAATCCTGACTCACTGTGCAAAACACAGCAGACTCGTGTGGACTCAGAGCCGTAGCCGTATAGCAGCAGATCCAGAGATCCAGCAGACTCGTCCTCATGCACGAGTCAACAGCAGACTCGTCCTCATGCATGAGTCAACAGCAGACTCGTCCTCATGCACGAGTCAACAGCAGACTCGTCCTCGTGCACGAGTCAACAGCAGACTCAGATTTGCCAAATCACAAAATAACCCTTTTTTTTTGTGATCAACATTTTTTATTAAAGCAAAATACACTGTGTAGCGGAGGTTAATGTAACGTTAGTTTAATATGCTCGTGAAATGCAACAACTTTTCGGTTTCACCGGTAGGATTTCTACGCTCTTGGTGATGCTGACTCATATGACTCAAAGGACTCGTATGATCCGGATCTCTTCAATGACTGACTCAGAAGACTCCGAGTCCGTAAAAGGATCCGGATTTGCCATCTCTACTGTGGGACAGACTCGGAGGAGCAGAGGCAGGGGCGGTTCTAGGGGGGGCCAACAGGGGCCAGTGCCCCCCTCCAAAAAAATGGTTACAATATTATGATTTATTGGAACTAAATCAAATCAGAGACCAGGATGTACAGTGGAGATAACATTTGTGATATTGGGCTATATAAATAAACATTGATTGATTGATCTTTATGGCCAACTACATTTTTGCCTGTATTTGTTATCACCAATAGTCACCTACAATGTTTGTTAGAATGCCAGGAAATGGATTCATATCGAGAAATGTTTTTATTGCGGAAAGCCCCCAGACCCCCTGTTTTGTGTCCCCCACTTCTCCAAACCAAGTTACACCCCTGACACACACTAGACCCTGAACAAGCATCATACCACACACCTGTAGCACAGCCATATCCATACACCCACCTGAACACAGCATTCATACACACACCTGAACACAGCATTCATACACACACCTGAACACAGCTCATCATACACAACACCTGAGCACCGCATCATACACACACTATGTACACATGCATCATCCACAACCTGAACGCATCATACACCCACCTAACACATGATCATCACACAGCATCATACACACACCTGCAGCATCATACACACAGCATCATACACACACCTGAGCACAGCATCATACACAACCTGAGCACAGCATCATACACACAGCATCAAACACACCTGAACACAGCATCATACACACAGCATCATACACACACCTGAACACAGCATCATACACACAGCATCATACACACACCTGAGCACAGCATCATACACACACCTGAGCACAGCATCATACACACAGCATCATACACACACCTGAACACAGCATCATAACCAGCATACACACACCTGAGCACCAGCATCATACACAC